TCCCTGCGCGCGAGTGTAACGAGACATGATGGCTGTCGATATATGATTAAACTGGACACAGGGTGAGCATCGAAGGGCCTCACCGCTATGCGATACCAGATTAATCTGTGTCTCAGGCTGAGTACCATACGTCCTGTGGATGAACAATTGATCTGCCTTTTGCGCAATGACCAGAAGGACTGAGCGGCATTCGCCGACGTGCTCCGAAAAGCACGTGATGTGACGCGTCGCGTCGCGACACCCTTTTTATTCTTTGTCTTAACCGTCTTGACCGCTGTGCCACCAACACTCGACTGTGTCCTTCATGCTCGCGTCGATGGACAGACTCCCGGATGAGCTACTCAAAGATGTTCTCGTCTCCGTCTTCCACGTGCCTGACCGGGATTTTCGCTACACCGGCCACCAGGCTTCTCCATTCTCGAAAAACATCGGAAATTATCTGACGTCGTCAGTCCTTCTCGTCAACAAAGCCTTCTGTAGGGTCGGAACACCTCTTCTATACTACACGGTCATTCTACGCTCTAAGGCTCAAGCTCACGCTCTCGCCGATACGCTCAGGGCGAATCCCGACCTCGGACGCTGGATCCGTCAGCTACGCGTTGAAGGCGGATACGGCTCGTACATGGACAGCATTCTTGGCAGCTGCGCAGAGCGAATTATTGATCTCTGCCTCACATTAATGATCTTCGCGAACGACAATGCGAGCGGTCTTGCGCGCCATCTCGCACGGATGAATCCGCGTCGAGTGTTCTACGCTGAGGGCATCAACGCGGGACGAGGGAGCGGCGAAGTGATGCAAAACAAGAACATCCAAACTCTCTTCACGGCTCTACTCAACGCCCTCCCACGCTGGTCGAACATGGTAGGCATGTTTCGACGCGACTCCCAAGTTGAAGCCTGATGAACGTATTCCAGCATTCTTTTGGATTTCCGTCACACCCAAATCTGCTACCAATAAGTCGTGAACTGGACCTATTCAAGGTTCTCAAAACATTGCGCTCTTTGCGTACTATCTACTTCTACGACAAGTACACATTCAATGCCCTCGCGGACGAGATTCTCACGTCCACAAATGTGACCGCGCTGGTTTTGGATAAATATGACCACAGCACGAGGGGCTTCGATGATAACATTGGGTACAAGGGGAGCAGATGGATGGACATCGAGCCTCTGATTCGCTTTGGATGGGACAGGTACGTCGTTGTACCACTCGCCTAAGAGGACATCTGAGAGACTTACTTTGGTATCATATGCTTTGCAGAACAAAGCCTGCGTATTTGCATCCTATCTCAGGGTTTACCCCTATGGCAAACGCAACCGAAGATGTGAAGGCTAAAATATGGGGCAGAATCTTGCGATTCGCGATTGAGGACCTGTGGACGACACCCAGCGCACGCAGTGTGTTATCGTCTCTGCCATCGCATGGGCATTCAAGGCTTTCTCTGTTTCTCTTCGTATCAAAAACATTCTTTGTTGGTGTCTGTTTCCTCTGTCGCCTATGTCTCATCCTGACGTCGATCCTCAGCGCGCGGCCCTTCCTTCGGTATACGAAACTGCCTGGCTCGACGATTGGGTTTCGCCTCGTTTATGCGACACTCTTGATAAGTATCCCCAGCGCGCACAGTATGTTCGTCGTCTCCTTGTGAATCCTTCGCAGACACACTGGATGTCTCTCTGGAACGATCATGGGCGAATGATCGTTCATCGGATACTACTGTCACCACGGAATTTCTGGAGTGGGAATACTTTTGTATTCTCTCGGAGACTGCCTGCCAAACGCTCAGAACCTATTTGGGCCCGTGTGTTATGGCTCGTAAAGGATTTCAGCCTGTTCCTCTGGAGCCAGAGCCCATCCTCGCCTTCCGCAACCTATCCCGTATGCACTGGCAAAGTGACGTGCCCATTCTTCCTCCGCATTTTATCGATCCTGGCGCATTCCCCCAGCTGGAACATCTTTCCATTGGCAGGCATCCAGAAAGCTGCAGCATCCTGACCCTTCTGTCTCAGCTCGAGTACGTGTACAACTGCTGACGGGCGGCATTTGATCTCACGCGCCACTATAGACTTCCCTGGATTCACATCCTCGATTTGTCGACTCAGAAGTCTCTAGATAAACCCTCCATAGCCGCTTTCCTCGCCGTGCACCGGCACAAAATATGGGAATTCGGCGTCGGAATATACTTGTCTCCCGGCCTTGTTGACGGCTTCAAAAGCCTCGCGGTGCTCAAAATCCATCATAGATGCGGCGGTTGTATGAGCAGCACACTGGCTTTCCCTCAGGTAAGTGCGAAGACAGTCAATGTGTTGGTTTTGGCTGACAAGACCAGTCTGTGACCGCTGACGCACCGACCGAGTATCCTTTCCTCAGGCGCGTCGAGTTTCACATGGATTGGTGCGTTCAACGTGAATCATCGGGCCATACTGACACGCATACGATAGTGGGTACACCAGCTGTGATCACACAGCGGCGGACTTTTCAGCATTCCACGCCCTTGCGGAGGTACACGATCCGCACTGTGTTTGGCCGACACACGAGTGAGTCCATAACACGATTGGGATGGAGTAGAAAAACTGAAAGCAATCATTGCGCAGGCGCGAAATCAATGTCAGCTGTTGGGTGAGGCGCTCGGAGGCGCTAGGTGCAGGAGGCATCCGTTTGGTGGACAAGGATGGGAAATCGTGGATCCCTCGGCTGAAGAACCGTGTTCGTAGTAGGTGAAGACGGCGAGCGCCGTTCGCTCACGCGATGTGCCGCTTGTACGCGGAATTTCCTCGCTACAACTTGAACATGGTGTTACAGCGCATGTCCCGGGGTGCCGTGGCAAACTCAGGAAGATGATGTTCATTGTACTAGCAAAAGAAACAGCTTGTAGAGCCAAATTGTTGGATGCATGGGAGCCAGCATTTTGTGTCGACCACCCTGCCCTTTGGAGGACGCTGCTACCACTAGTCCATGTGCGCTCCGCCGTCGATGGAGATCTGGGAGAAGCATTAACGTTTCGCCACGGAAGCCGAGCGGTAGATGCACGCACCGTCTGACCTGTGCAAGTTATTGATAGTCACGAGCACCGGCTCCTGTGTAGATAGCAAGCCAGAATATCGAGGCTCACCGGTGATAAACCCCGATTCCTTGCTTGCCAAGAAGGAGACAAGAGACGCGACCTCTTCGGGTTGCCCGCAGCGTCCTAGAGGTGAAACTTTGTTCCACTGGCAGTAGGTTAGCTACGAGAGATTTTCTGTAAAGGCAAGGACACACGATGTCGAAAGCAAGATCGGTGTAGTCTTCCAGCTTGTCCGTGTAGGCTACAGAAGATCCAAGGCTCATCAACACCACTTCCGAGTCGGAAGTGAGGGGCAATAGAGCATACCAAGCGGTGTGTCGACGAGACCTGAGAGTAGGTGAAGGCGTGAGTATATAATTTGACGGGCGAAATATGGTAGGCTGACGTACCGGGTGCATACGCGTTGACTGTAATGCCGTGGGTGCCTAGAGCAAGCGCTGAGACTCGTGTGAGTGTTTGAAAAAGGGGTTTGGGGTAAGCCGTACCTGCGCTTTGCGTGATCCCTCGTACGGCGAATTTGGCTGCCGTGTACGATGTCAAGCCACGTAAAGCTAGAAGCGATCGAAAGTGAACGCGGCATTAGCACGCAAGGCTCTGCTACGCTCTGGAATGGACTCACGTTGCTTGCCGCCGATAGACGAAGCGCCTATCAGTCGCCCCTCTCGGTGACCTAATTCGATCATCTTGCGCGCGGCGAGCTGGTAGCAGAGGAAGACACCGGTCGCGCTGACGGAGGTGACCTTGTTGAAGCTTTCCAGAGTTTCTGCGGGTGGAACGTCATCATCGGCGCGCGACTGCTCATTGAAGGAGACAGAAACGCACCCTCGAGGAACGGCGCAGGCCTAGCGATGCCGGCGTTCGCGACCATCTAAGAGGGATCATCAGGGTTGTGAGCGTCGGAAGTCATAGCTCTCGAAGTATGAAAAAGATACGCACCACGTGCAGCCCACCCAGAACTTCCAAAGTACCATCGATTATAGCCTGGACCTCCTCCTGTTTTGAGACGTCGCCGAGGAAGACCGCAGCGCATCCGCCGTTACTCGTTATTGCGCGCGCCACTTCGTCGAGCGCATCTTTCTTGGACGGGATATCGTTGAGGCCAATCGATAGGCCGTCCCGAGCTAGTCGCAGGGCGATGGCCTTCCCGAGGCCTTGTGCGGCGCCGGTGACGATTGCGACGCGGGGCTGGTTGGGCATGGGAAGACGTTGACGATGAGGCCTGAGGACGCGAGGGGTGGGCTTTCAGATGGTCTGTGAGATGGAGAGTCGGTGAGATAACAGCAGATATAATGATGGGATAAGAGAAGGGGACGTCAATGGAAGATACTTATGAGGAGGAATAAGTGCGCAACTCCGAAGATATATAGCGCAGAGGTGCTTCTTCATGGGAAGTGCTTGCACCGAATTATGGTCATGAGCTCAGTCCAAGGCTTCTGTGTTTCAGGCTCACCGTCCTCTTGGAAAGTAAGCGGTCAAGCGACCTACCGCCTGGCGAGAGTGAGGGCCGTCATGAGGCCTGAGGCCCAATAAGAGCGAGTTTGACTAATTCACAAAGCTGATTCTCCAGGAGCTCATTTCTGTAATGTGCGAAGAGGACTACTGGGGGTCTCGTCGAGCCAGGGAGATTCTGACCGTGGGACGAAGACGATGGAGGGAAGGTTCGAGGCAGGAGTCACAGTGACATTAATGTCACGGGGTGGTAAACTCGTGCCTTTCGGCAATTGCCATTTCTCGGCCGGCTAGGGGTTTCCCTTACGGACAGGTCTTGTAGATGCACCAATCGCAAGTCAGGTATGCTCAGCTTGTCTGAGTACTATGCTTACTCAATTCTCGAAATCATGGAGCTTTGTATTGGTCAGAACTGCCACCCGCTGGTTGACTCATGGTTGTAGGCACGCCGGACTCGTATGTATGTAGTCAATGACACAAATCAACTACGGGCTTGTGGTACAGTGGTAGCACGTTCGCTTAGCATCTAATTTTCGGCTTGCGAAAGGTCCTGGGTTCAATTCCCAGCAAGTCCATCTTTTGAGCCGTCTTTTTGTGCCGTAGGGACAGTAAGGACAGCAACGAGCTACCTCCGAAACACTGATATTGCTAGTGGCCAATGCAAGAGGTGTGTTACGGGCACCCCACAGCTCGTCAGTCGGGTCCCGCGGCCTGATTCACCCCACTTCAAACTTCAAAGCTTCACCGGTCACAGGTCACCGGTCACCCTTCACGCGCACGACCAAGAGCAACACCATTTGTGAGTTGGATAATGCGAGCAGCCTCAGCCTGGCTGAGATCTGCGCGACTTCGGTGATCAGTCCTTCCTTAGGCCTCCTTCGCAAAGGACTACTTACTGTATACCAAGACGGAGAACTCATAGCAAAGAGTATGATTAGTACGACCGTGATTATACACGACTGGTGCAAATACAGAGAGGATGATAGCAAGAACACATGTATACAGCTGTTATTCATAAGTAGATCATGGTCGGACTCGTAAAAAGACAGAGAATATCCAAGGGAAATCCACAAAGCCCCTATCGTAAAAGGAATGATGTTCATTAGTCTCGAACCCATCCGTTCGCTCCGCCCACCGGGACCCACATCAGGGAGCAACGTGGGCGCACGTTTTTCGGTATTTGGGCGGTATTGAAAAGAGAGAGCAGTGAGCGGAGCGAACGTCTGGCGCATTCGGCGCGGGTTAGCTAGGATAACGTCATAGGTGAAATACCGCCCGCGTCGCGTGCGCGGCAGCTGCAGGTGGGCGTTGACGCGGACGACGTTGGGCCGCCGGATTTCGTGTATGACTTCCCGAATCCCAGCACGACGGCTTTGATTGAACATGAAGACTGGACGACCGATACGGCTCAGCGGAGGGGCAATGAAAGCCCGTAGAGGACGAAGCCCAGGATCACGTGCCCCTCGGGGCGGAATTTGCCGAGCAGTGCTGAGACGAGAATACAGCACTGGGCGCGCACTTCACCTGCGGTGCCGCCCTTCTGAGGAAGGTGTATTCAATCCGAGAGGCCAATCCTGGGCCAATCTGCCTAGAATTTTGTCGCTGGTACAGTCAGGAAGCATCTGAGAAAGCGAGGCTCGTGTCGAGGCGGCCCGCTGGCAATTGCCGCGCAGCGCCTGGAGAAGGTCGCGCTCCTCAGGCCTCAGGAATCAACGGAGCCCTTCTGAGAAGGCTACTCGCAGTGATTTCATGTAGCGATACCACTCAAGATAAAACGATGCTCGTCCTGTGCGCCGTGTCACGCCGACAGAGGCACAATCGTACTGCGACCTCGGATTGTTCAGTCATCTACTCAGAGACGCGAGCTTTTACATCGCGGCAAAGCTCCCCTTTCTCTGATGAGAGGCGGTACTGTAGAGCAGGAAGTGTGCGCCCAGTGCTATACCCTCGTCGCCTTCAGCCGGCTACCTCCGCCGCAAAGCGCACGTGGTCCCTTGCTTCGCTCTGGCGTACTTTGCCCGCCTACGGTGTTCTCTCAGCTCTGATTTCGTTTATATGCTTCATTCCATCCGTCGTATCATGAGGACCATACATAAAAATCGGCACGAGAAGGGCTAACGTCGTCCGCGACGCCCAGTTGCCGCGCACGCGACGGGCCGCGTATTTCACCTATGACGTTATCCTAGCTAACCCGCGCCGAATGCGCCAGACGTTCGCTCCGCTCACTGCTCTCCACTTTTCAATACCGCCCGAATACCGAAAAACGTGCGCCCACGTTGGGCGGTGGGTCCTTGTGGGTGCAGTGGCGGAGCGAACGGATGGGCACGAGACTAGATGTTCATGTAAGATGGCGGGCCGTTCACGACAGCGCAAGAAGCTGAATCCTATCCTCTTTCACCGCGTAGAGCAAAATATAGGCGCATTTCTCCTCCTTCCTTTTGACCGCTGCCTCGCGCACCTGCTGCGCATACGCGGAATGCTGGGTGGGGAAGATGGACATGATGCTGCGCCATGCCTCCTCGTCTGTTATCCACTCCGGTGATTTAACCATCGCATCAAAGACGGCGGGTGGCAAATCGACGGCGAGCGTGGGCATACCAGTCTGGGCAGTTGTCTTCACCTTCATGCTCGTCTCGAACGCTGATCCGAATGTGAGTAAACCGAACAAAACGACACGAAGGACGAACCTCGGTCAGTGAACATCTGCTTGACAACCTTGCGCTGCTTCTTAGTGTCGACCGGAAGCAGTAACTGCAGATCTTGATGATTGGTAGATTCCTTCGGCGCAGCTGGCGCCGTCGGGTCGGAGAACATCGGCGCGCCTGAGGTAGCAAGATCGATGCGTTTCTGCTCGGAAATCTGTTGTTGAAGCCAGGGTACGAGCTCGGATCGCGATACTAAACCCTCGTCAGGCTTGGCCTATGCAAAACAAGTCATGCGACGTACACTCGTATTCGGTGCCCTTGAGCAAGCTCTTGACCTTGAGAACGAGCTGGTCGCGCTTGCCTCCACGGGGTCGAGGATAGACAGTGAACCTTCCTTGCAGTGAGCACCATAATGAGGTATAATGAGACATGCACGTACAATATGCCCTCTCGCGCGCAGATATCGAAAGCGCTCTCGTACTCATTGTTGGGCAAGCCAGAGTCGTACATCAGATCCGCGCTTATGTTGTTCTTCCACAGGTCAGCCACGATGTCGAGTCGGTCCTGCAGGTAGCCAGGATGGAAGGACACCACGTATACATCGCAGCGCCGAGGACTCCAAAAGCCGAACGACCGTTGTTCCTTCACAAGCGCCTTGACCGACGATATTTGGTAGTCGACCAGAGACATTGTAATGCGGTCAATGAACACCTGCATCCCATACGCTGCAAGTGGTTCTGTCTCGACGTTCGGCGGCGTATAACGAGCGATAAGATGGTCATATCTACACCAGAGTCGTTATTAGATCATGGCACAAAGGGGGCAAAGGAAGGCTGACCTGCCGGCCATAGCGAGGACGTCCATGCGTTTGTTACGGCGGACGACCTGGATGACGATGCCACCCTCAAAGTTTTGCGTGAACTGGTTGAGCATGAGAGGGCGGAAGATGATGGGCTTCTTGACACCTGTGGCCGATGCGAGCTGCAGCGTCTTCTTGATCTCGGTCAGCGCAGAGCGAACGCCAGACAGGAAGAACGGCGCCGTTTTCTCCAGCTTCAAGATCCATGCGTCGATGTCTTCCTCTGCGATGGGTTAGTCAGGCAAAGTAACGAGCACAATAAATCATCACTGACCTGGCTCCACAAGAAGGTCGAGCTCTTGGATGACAGAGTTGGAGATGCCCTTCTTAGCCAACGCCGTGCGCTTCTGGGAAGGAGACGACCGGTGTTGCATCAGGATGTCCCGCACGGCAGAGCGTAGGTCCTCCGGCACGCGATCGAAAGCACATTCTATAACTGTAGCTATGGTCAGCATGGTACAGCAATCCTAGGTGCAGAGGCGTACCCTCGGAATGCGTAATGTGAATCTCGTATGCCTGCGACAAGTTGGGGAAACTATCCAGGATGCTAGACGCCACCGAGAGCATCTCTACGCCAGCGGCGATAGGGCCCAAAACTAGATCCTTGGAGATAATATCGAAGACCGCCGCTTTGGAGAACTTGGGGTGTCCAGCGACGCCGCTGGAGAAGGTGGTCAGCTCAAAGTACCGAGGGAACGACAAAGGATGCCTTACTTTGACTTGAAGATATCCGCAATATGGTATCGCTTTATCCTGTTTGAGTTCTTCCTCGCTGCCAGACGTGCGAAGGAAACGATAAGATCCGCCGGCAACATGACGACGTCACCGAAGCGGTCAAGGAACGTAGCATGACTATCATTGGTACTTGTCTCTGTCATTAGAAGTGGGGGCTCCGTGTCGATGGCTCCGTGGAGACGGAAGACGGCCGCAAGGCGCTCCTCGGCGATGTAGTTGAGGGACGCATGTTCCGACATCGGGACATCGGCGTCGTACAAGTAGCCACGTGCAGGACGAGGTGGCTGGTTGAAGAGGGATGACAGCACAGCAGAGCGATGAAGCGAGTCCGGTTTCGCTAAAGACTCTTTGAGCAAGCGGCCGGTGACGCAACAATCGGTACTCACCCATCATCTCGAGAGCGTTCTTCAGGTACTCCTCCTCAACTCGTGGGGGCAGCAGGTTGCTCTCGGACAGCTCGACGGCGTTCGGTCGATCATCAGGATCATGTTGTAGTAACCATGTTATTACTGCAAGCCGGCAGTCGTCAGCACAAGCCGCTGACATGTAGTACGTTACTCACTCTGACGTTGTCTCTCCCGACGCTGGTCCCACTCGGTTGGGAACACGACTTCCGGTCGACGTAAGTTGCTGATAATGGCAATGCGTTCTGCGTCTGTGTTGAAACGGAAGTTCATCTCGAAGAAGACGATCTATCATTGAGATCTCGTCAGCCTGAAAGCATGCATCGTACATCAGAAAACTCACCCCCAAGCTGTACATATCCGCTTTGCTGTGATTCCGCGACCCTCTCTTCTTGCTTGACACCTCGGGAGCGATGTACAGATAGGTTCCGACATCTGTGTCATGTCAGCAAGTCACGCCCGTCAATGGTCAATGCACACGCACTGAAGGTGACTTCCTCAGACCGAAGAGAGGGTGATACGTCCGAAGGGTCGACGGCGGCTAGGCTTGAGGTCGCAAGTCCGAAGTCACCAACTGAAAGTGCAAGTCAGCAATGGCACTCTACAGGCCAACATCTTACAGGCCTTTGCAATTGCCATGCGCATCTGCGAGAGCGGTCAGACATGATCGACAATCAGGTCAAAGACAACGCATTGAACACACCAATGAAGACGTTCTGAGGCTTGATATCCCGGTGTATGATACCGCGCTCCTTCATTTCTACCAGCGCGCTCAAGATCTGCGAGAATAACCGCCAAGAGTCCTGCTCCGCGATGCCTTCTCTCACTAACTCCTTCAGCGTCTGCCGCTCCACAAACTCCATCTGGATGTACAGCGTCCGAGGCAAGACCGGCGGCCCGTCAGCGGCCTGACTCTGCGGGCGTACCAGCAG